CTAAGAGCCATATAGGACGGTCAATTTATAGTGAATTACAAAACAGGGATTAGGATTGATAGCAAAAAGTACAAACCTTAAGAGCGTTATATTTCGGGCAAATTATAGTGAATTACAGAACAAAGATTAGGATTGATAACAAAATGACAAACCTTAATAAGTGCCATAAATAACGAGAAAATTATAGGGAATTAGGGATTAGGATAAATGGCAAAAAAGAAAAACCTTACTAAGAGCTATAAAGTGCCGCCAAATTATAGTAAATGACAGAACAGGGATTAGGATTTATGTCAAAAATGACAAACCAAACTAAGAGCCATAAAAGAACGCGCAAATTATAGTGAATTACAGAACAGGGATTAGAATTGATGATAAAAGTAACAAACCTGACTGAGAGCCATAAAGAACGGGCGAATTATAGTGAATTACAGAACAGGGATTAGGATTGATGATAAAAGTGACAAACCTTACTGAGAGCCATAAAGAACGGGTGAATTATAGAGAATTACCGAACAGGGATTAGGATTGATGGCAAAAATGCAAATCTTATTAAGAGACATAACGGACGGGCAAATTAGAGAGAATTAGAGAACAGGGATTAGGGTTGATGGCAAAAATGAAAAACCTAAGAGCCATAAATGACGAGCAAATTAAAGTGAATTACAGAACAGGGATTAGGATTGGTAAGAAAATGGCAAACCTTAATACGAGCCATAAACGAGGAGCAAATTATAGTCAAATGAAAAAAAATAGGGATTAGGGTACATACCAAAATTGACAAACTTTACTATGAGCCATAAAGGACGGGTAAATTATACTGAATTACAGAAACGAGATTAGGATTTATAGCAAAAATGACAAACCTTACTAAGAGCCATAAAGCGCGGGCAAATTATAGCGAATCACAGAACAGGCATTAGTATTGAGAGTAAAAATAACAAACCTAAGTGCCAGGAGATATGGGTAAATTATAGTGAATTACAGACCAAGGATTAGGATTGATGGTAAAAATGACAAACCTTACTAAGAGCCATAAAGAACAGGCAAAATAATAGTGAACTATAGAACAGGGATTAGGATTGATAGCAAAAATCACAGATCTTACTAATACCCATAAATTACGCGCAAATTATAGTGAAATACAAAATAGATAACAAACCTTACTAAGAGCCATATAGAACCCTCAAATTTTAGTGACATACAAAACAGGGATTAGGATTGATGGAAAATGAACAAACCTTACTGAGAGACATAAAAGGCGGTCAAATGATATTAAAATACAGAACAGGTATTAGGTTAGATGGCCAAAATTACAAATAATACTTAGAGCCATAAAGACCGGGTAAATTAAAGTGAATTACAAAACAGGTGTTACGATTGTTGGCAAAAATGACAAACCTTACTAAGTGAAATAAAAGACGAGCAATTTATAGTGAATTACAAAACATGGATTTCGGTTGATAGCCCAAATTGCAAACCTTATTAAGAGCCATAAAGAACGAGCAAATTATAGTGAATTTCAGAACAGGGATTAGGATTGATGGCAAAAATGACAAATCTCACTAAAAGCCATAAAAGACAGCAAATTATAGTGAAATACAGAACAGGGATTAGGATTGATGGCAAGAATGACAAACCTTACTAAGTGCCATAAAGAACAGGCAAATTATAGAGAATTTCAGAAGAGGGATTAGGATAGATGGCAAAAAGGACAAACCTTCGTAATGGGCTTAAACGACGGGCAAATTATAGTGTTTTACAGAACGGGGATTAGGAGAGATACCCAAAATGACAAACCTTAATGAGAGCCATGAAGGAAGAGCAAATAAATGACGGGCAAATTATAGCAAATTACAGAAACAGGAATAATGATTGATAATAAAAATGACAAAACTTACTAACAGCCATTAAGGACGGTCACATTTTATTGAATTACATTACAGAGAATAGAATTTATGCAAAGAAGACTAACTTCACTTAGAGCCCTAAATGGTGGGCAAATTAATATTGAATTAGAGAAAAGGGAGTAGGATTGATAGCAAAAATTAAAACCCTTACTAAGGGCCATATAGGACGGACAAATTATAGTCAATTACAGAACAGTTATTAGGATTGATTGCAAAAATGATAATTCTTACTAGGTGCCATAAATGACGTTAAAATTATACTGAATTACAGAACAGCGATTAGGATTGATAGCAAAAATGACGAACCTTCCTAAGCGCAAGAAATGACGGGTAAATTATAGTTAAATACAGAACCGGGTTTTGGATTGATAGCACAAAAGACAAACGTTACTATGTGCCATAAATTTCAGGTAAATTATACTGTTTTTCTGAACAGGTATTACGATTGATGGCAAAAATGATAAACCTTACTAACAGCCATAAAGGACGGGCAAATTTTAGTGAAATACAGAGCAGAGATTAGGATTAGTAGCAAAAATGACAAACCTAAGCACCATAAAGTATGGGCAAATTATAGTGAATTACAGAACAGG